CTTTGGGTTTGTATGGGCACAGATGTGCACAATGCATGTGACACCTTTGCGAAGACTGACCTGATGAAGACGCAATGCTGAAGATGACATCCTTCTTCTCGCTGCGCACACGGTGATGCTCCCGATATTCCCTGTAATCCGCTTGAACGCTATGCCATTGGAGCCAACGAATATCCGGCGACTGATTGCCTATAACACATGCTCATCCACAAATGTGTCCTACCTCTCAGAACGCACCTCAGCTGCAACATTGGGTCATTATCTACTCAACAATCATCTTCAGGTTTTGAATCGAACAAGGAAGTCACAGAAAGCCCCTGTTTCCACACAAAAAGTACTACAACTCATATGTGCTTGCACACCAGAATAGACAGTTTCCCTTCTCTATCCTGAAGCTTGGATTTTTCCGCGTATTTTCTGGTGTATGCATGAAAGCGCAGTGACCGGGCCTTGTCAGCCATCTTCTACACTCAGTTCGCGTCAATATCAACCAAAGGTCACGACTATTGCATCACTCCCGATCAGTAATGTATGTTGCGATTGATTTGTCGCAGTCTTTTGACCTCTCGTGATATCTGCATATTTCAGTTTTCACGTTCATGTACATGCTAAACTGCTGCTTTGAATTTCCAACTCGGTCATTTGCTGCAAAAAGGGATTGAAATGTCACCGCGCAAGCAAAGCTTGCCAACTTTGAGAAACACATAAAGCCATTATGCCAGCTTCGATGAAGGGGATGCACGAACGGCCAAGTCAAACATTGTCAGCACTGCTTACGGAGCTGAGGGCTGCCTGGCCACTATTTCATAACTTCTAGCTCATGCATGACAGTGCTACAATGGGTGTCTGGCCTATCGTGGCAGTATTTCTCAAACCGAAGCGGATCTCTCACCACAAACACAGTATGTTGCCAAAATTTACGCAGTTATCTTGCCGCTGCGCTGGAAACGAAACAGACGACTATATTCTGCGAAGTACATTCAGTTAGCCAGAAGCGCACTTGGACATGTGAAGTGTGCGTGGATGATACGAGTTCCAGAGTGCAGGGCGCCTAGGAAACGATCCGCCACATGCATCACAAGACTGTCATCTAAAAGCTGCTCCTGCGTCAGCTGCGCTCCTCATTGGGCGTCGGTTGCTTCGTGCAGTCACCTTCTCCTTATGCGGCGCTTGAGCTGGGCGTCATGCGACGTAGCTCATCATCTGAGCGTTCGAGCCTGCCTGCTGTGAGGACGCTCCTCGTCATGTAGGTGATCAGTCATATGCGTTCCACCTCCTCCTCATCGTCGTCAGCTGCCTACTCATGTGGTCGATGTCAGCTGCTCATTGCGACAAAACTCCTTGATGTCGTTAAGTGGGCCAGTGATGAAACATGTCGTGAAGATGTTGTATTTGTCTTATATCATAGCATCTATTAGCATTTTTGGTCATCATGCGGTGTTCAGCTGCACTCCTGCGCAAGTGCTCCTCATGCGGCGTTGAGCCTGCCTATTGCGTTCAGATCTTCTCATGCGCTGTTGAGCTCCTAGGTTGCGTTCAGGCTGCTCCTAATCATGTGGCGTTGAGCTCTACTTGCTTCAGCTCCTCCTCATCGCCGCTGTTCAGCTCCTAGTGCGTTCAGCTGCTCTCAGTCCATCTCGCTTGCACTCATGTGGCGCTGCAGCTGCCCAACTGCATCGACCTGTCGGTCATGCGTGCA